GTCATTTTTAATGTATCAAATGTCTATATGCAGAGAAAAGCCTAAAAACTAAGTTTTTTTTATCATTAAATGAAGATATAGCCTAAAGATGTATGCGGGCTTTACGGCATAACCAGGTTTCATTCGCCTGGGCCCATGGGTAGTTGCCCCACCCCCCACCCCACTCTGTCAGCAGGTCTGAGGCTCATACAAGGCCAATAAAGAAAGATTTGTTAAAAAATATTATCAGTATTATCATCATATAATGTCATACAAATCACCAATCTATGAAATACTAACTACTTTAAAGTAAACAATAAAGCCAAATTTGATTGGATCATTATTTACCAAAGATTCTGTCACTAGCTGATTCATATTTTATATTGTATACAGCACTATAGATAAAAACTTATTTGTTATTTCTAACTTTCTTGTCTTAATATGTTTGAAACCTTGAATAAATTATTGCCATTTGTTGTTGTTAAGAGACCTCTGGGTCAGAAGGATACCACGAAATGTTTCACACATATTGTCTTGACAGGATTCTAGTTTGTAAGCTTCTGTAAATTAGCTGGTGAGCTGTAGGTTCTCTAACAGTGAGAACTAAGCATCCAGATACAGGATTGTGCTTTCAAAGGCCTGCAGGCCACCTATTGAGAACCAATGGTTTAAAACACTATTACACTAGGGTTAGATAGTGTATATAAACTAAAACAAATAAGTAGTTCTTGTACAAGTGCCTAAAGTACTTGTAGATATAAGTTGACTTTCTTGTTTTAACTTTGCATGATTTTTTTTGTTTTAGCAGCTTTTTTATCTTGCAAATAATAACACATATTTTGACAACTATATTTGTTCATTTATTAAATAACAGAGCTGCTTTTCTCAATCACATCACTGACATCATTAGTTCTAATTTCATTTTTGTAATACACCAATCACGTATTGACTGCTATTGGAAGTTTAAATTTTTAAACCAGACACTCCATTTTAACTGTCAGTAGGGGGGAAATGTAACATGTACTAATTTTACGTTCTAGGCTGCTGAAGGATTTTTATTTGTTGTAAGCTGTGACAGAGGCCGTATTTTGTTTGTTTCTGAGTCAGTATCCCAGATTCTCAACTTCTCCCAGGTATGACCACTAATCTATATAATGTTTATAATAAAAACAACTAATTATAAAGACTTACCAACAAGTGAAAATCTTCCAAAAGGACAATGGAAGTGTAATTTTCAAGTGAAAAACAGTATTAAAAAACATTTTTATTTTGTGGTAGTTGCAATAATCTCTACATTTTGTTTAACCTTTTCTTAAATACTAATAGAAAATGTTAGTTAATTATTATATATGTATTCAGACCAGTTTCCTGAACCTTAACAGATAACAGTGAAACAAAAAGGGGAAAAAAATAACTTTATTGTAATGTCCGAATATGTTTTCAAAAAGCACATAATTATCAAGAAAAAGAGTATAAAATTATACTTGTGTTACAATAAGATCATAAAGTTTAATCTGCCCTAAAATTTGACTTAATGTCGTCCAGTAGTGTAATCACCAGCTGCTATTGGAAGTCATAAACCCGAGTGTAAGAAAAGGTAATTTTGATTTGACATTTGTGTTTTTGACATTCCTGTGTATTGTTTAAGTAGTTCAGAAACTTACTAACATGCTCAGAACTGGGCTAAATATTCTTTTATGTCTTTTATCTGCTTTATCCTAGGGAGATCTTTTGGGTCAAAGCTGGTTTGATATTCTACATCCTAAAGACATAGGAAAAGTGAAAGAACAGCTGTCATCCTCTGATCTGTCTCCTAAAGAACGTCTCATAGATGCAAAAAGTAAGTAACAGACTTTACTTATTATATACAAATTAATATTTGATTATCTCTTTGTTTAAATGTTAACAAACTGCTAGTTGTTGACAAAATCCCAATGAGACTCTTTTTGAAACCACAGAGAAATGGGGACTATTTGATGCACTTGACACATCCTTGATATCTATAACCCTCGTGTGTTTTATCATTATTTATGTATTATATAATTACTGTTTTTTTTATATATTTTTATAAGTACAGTAACACCAGGGTTGTTCTAATAATGGGAAATGGGAGAGGGGGGGGGGGTTAAAGCCTCCACCTTAAACAGCAATACATGTGAAGGTGTAGATCAAAAAGTACAGCTTTCTAAGCTCTTCAACATCAAAAGCAAGGGGTAGGCGTTTGGTGACTAAATATAACTTTAGATATCATTAGCAGAATCAAATTAAGAATATACATATGACAAATGACTCACAAACCTAAATATATAAATATACTTTCTAGTTGTATTCAAATCTGGCATCCTTCAGGTTATGGATGTTATCCTCTTAAATGGTGTTTATTTTTTAAATAGTTCATAACTTTGACAGAAAGAATACCAAGTATAATTCAGTGCATATTGTCCCCTACTCAAATAATTTAAGTAATTTACATTAAAATCAAGTGTTTATTAAAAAAATAGAAGATATCGGACCTTTTAGAATATTGGGGTGGTTGTTCAACACCTCTGCTTGAATGCTGTTAATGTCTAACAGAGCTCACTATTTGAAATAATTTATTAAATTTTTGGGACTTGATTCTTTCAAGATTTCAAACATTAAAGAACTTCCAATGCATTCTTATGAACAGTTAACTAAAACAAACTTCTGTAATTATCCTCTGATCTTAGTTTAACAAAGTTCTCAGATATCCACTTTCAATAGCCCAAGAATGCCGAGTTTGATAGAATTTCTCAAGCTTTTTACTCACAGATACTCTTATGATCAGTATTTGGTATGGTCACTTTTCATTGAATCAATTTAGTCATACTAACACCACTGTGACCTGATCTTTTTTTTTATTATTGAAATATCTTATAAAGAAGTGTTTTGAGAACTACATTAAGTGATATGATTTTTAAATATGTAAGCGTGATATAAGTATTGTGGTTTATAACATATTTGCATTAATTTAACACCTAAATCACACTTTGTTCTGGAAGATTGTACATAGTAGTTATATTACTTCAACTACTAAGAACAAAATATATACTAACTACTTAGTGATATGTAGTTGATATAGAAGTAAAAAAGAAAAAATTCCATGTGGAAAGTGACTCAGGAAATCTTTACATCGTTTAGTTTTAGAATACTGTTACGTCTCCGTTTGTTAATTAACTTTCCGTAACTTCGTTCCGACGAAACTTTAGCGCTACAAGTCCTTACTTAATAAAACTGGTTTATTCTTTCTGAATATAACTTCACGATACACTTGATTTCAACATTCGCGCTAAAACAAACGCTATAACGAACATTAACTTCAACAATACTTTCTCACTGCAGATCAATTACTCATTACCTACACACATTCTTGTCACGTTGTCACCCTCTTATATATATATACCAGACTACCCTATATCTAGTAATCTCCCGACTATTCCCGAAGGTTCGAGAGGTGGCGTGACACTAGTCACGTGACCTTGCTGACGCAACAATACTAGAACTTCATGTTAATGTATATCCTACTGATCGTGAGATAACATTCACAATGGTATTTGCAGCAAGGTAACTGGCAGCATCTGTGCTCAGCTATTGTTTGTTTCATAAATAAAATAACCTAAAATACTTAACATCACTCCACCTTAATCACTTTCGGTATTAACAGTGCCAATTTTACGCTCACCCACTTCAGAGCCTTTGACGTAGCCCCTACTGAAACACAGAGACCTTCACAATTTTTTTTTTCTGTGTGGATTATACTTGACCAGCCAAAACCTTGATTTCTACAGACTTGTTATGAGCCAAAACTGCAATAACACTACTACTATTGAGCATAGTATGCTTGTCTCTACTTTTGTTGGCTTGATTACTGGTGTACATATCACTTTCTGATCACAATGTAACCCTCAACTCATGTTTGTTTCCTGATAATTTATTTTCACACGACAAAGGGTCTGCACCCCCCTGTAGTATTTTCCTGTTATACCTTATTTCTCACTTCCAGTTAATATATGTTCATTTTCAAATAAAATCTCTGTTGTGAAATTTAATTTACAGCATGTATGTGAAGTTTTGAGTCCAATTAGTGCACTTGTGAAATGTTTATAGTCAAAGAAAAATCACAAATGAAAATCACACATATTAACATGTATTGCTTGCACTCCTTTTATTCTGATTCATGTTCTTTAAGTTTACTGCCTTCTTTGTGACAGTGTTAGCTAGTAATGAATATGAACAAGAAATTAACCTTGAGTAATTTATACTGCAAAGATAATGACAACACAAAAAAATGGTAACTTAGATTTTGTCATAACTTTATTTATGACATAAATTAAGCTTAAATTTTTCACAAATCAATATTCATGTTATTTAAAACTTTACTTGCAATAGGCAAGAAAAAACGATGACTAGAAACACAAGTATTATTGCTTTTTAATATTTTTTGTGCAGGCATATTACCTTTAAGAGATAGGAAGATTGTTAGACATGTTGCAAACTCTGTTGCTGTAATAAAAAATAATGTATTAAGATATTGAAATTCACCAAACATGCCATGTGCAAATCTGTGGTGTTAAGACACACTAAACACAGTACCTCTACAGAATATAATCTTACCACTTATAAGGCAATTCTGATAGAGATTATTTTTATATCAATACACATAAAACACATAATTTATACAGCCTAGCTGGTCTAAAAGGCCAATAGATAATTCAAATCACCCGATTGATAGTTATGCTCATGCAAATTTGTAATGTGTTTTTTTAACCAGATCAAATCTTCAATATTTGTTTTTGTGAAAAATAACATTAATAAAGATTTTTCTGGTCAATAGTGTCTTCAGTAATACATAACACGTGTAATATGAAAAAAAAAAGACATTAAAAAATATTGCACAGAAAACTGTGAGAGGATAGGATTTGAAATAATGTGATATTTGTGAAGTATTATTAATTTGTTTCTCTATAAACATGTTTCATTAGCCATGCTTCCTGTGAAGACTGACATGCCTTCTGGTCAGAGTAGGCTTTGTCCTGGATCCAGGCGGTCATTCTTCTGTCGAATGAAATGTAGGTCATTGGCAACTGTAAAAGAAGAAGCTGATACAACTACAGGTTGCCACAAAAAACGAAAATCACAGAGCTCAGGTTAGTTTTGTGAAATATTATTTTCCTTATCAACCATGTTTCACTAGGCTTTTCCTAACACAAATGAAATAACCTGTAAATAAAACATTGAACCTAAAGTTAAAGTTAATATATTTGCCGAGAGAGAGAGAGAACCAACAATAGGGATAAGACTGAATATTCAATAAAAATAGTATCCTACCCGGGTGGCTTAGCTGAGAGCTTATAATGCTAAACATTGGGTTTTGATATCTGTAGTGAGCACAGTATAAGCAGCTCATTGTTAAGTTTTGTGTTTAACAACAAAACAAACAAAAAATAACGTCTATAAATTAAATTCTGTTGTTTTATTTATTAGCTGTATGTTTTGGCAACAATACTTCCCATTTGACAGATGTATCACAAATTAGCTATTATAGCTTCTAAACGACAGGTCAATTCTAAGTTAAGTTGTTTCTATTGTCTGTTAGTTGTAAGTTTAGGTATTATTGCCTTCCCCATGGCAAGTGAATCATAAATGAGCAGTTATAACTTCTACTTGAAAGATCAACAATGAGATGTCGACTGCCTCTATCAATGATGGGTAAAACCATGTCGGTGTTTGTTTGAACTGTTGATTTAATTACTGTCACTCATAATCTAAAGATATGTTGCTGGTAGTCAGTTGCTTTACACTTGCTAATGGGGCTTGTCATGACCTAATGGTTAGTGTGCCTGAGGTTCCATGTTGTTTCCCATTTTTGCAATATTGAGCTCCTCACTGTGGGGCCATGGATGCATAAGAAGCAGAGGCATCGCTAAGTACTTAAAACATTCTGGGCTCGGGCCCATTTTTTGCATTTCAATATGATATTGATCATGGTTTTCTATTTTGATTTTTCAAGACATCAACTGGGAATTTATGGCACAATCAAATAAATATTAAAAGAATGATGTTAAACTGTCATTATTCAAATCAGGTAGTACAAGAGCTGACAGTAGCATGCTGTTGACTAGCTGCCTTCCCTCTAGTCTATTAGGTCAAAATTAAGAATGGCTAGTGTAGATAGATAACCTTTATATAGCTTTATGTGAATAACCAAAACAAACAATCACTTGACAAATGATCTATAGGTTAATTAATACTATTTAACAGATATTCTCATGTTTAGGGGCAATGCAAGTGCTCTATGCGTAAATTAAGCCTGTAAATAGGTTAAAGACCTTATGCCACTGAATTACACACTTGAATGATGTGAACACTGTAATGGTTCATAGGTATCCCTAAAATTAAAATTTAAGACCACAAATATAAAGTTACATAAAGATCTGTAATAATGAACTTTTTGTTGATTGTAGATGGAGTAAAACATTTACATTTATTTAGATCATCCACATATAAAACAATTAAGGATTTCAGTGTATTTAAAATACTATAAACATAATTACATTACTTAATAGTTTGTTTGATTGTAGTTATGTACAAAGCTACACAATAGGCTATCTGTGATCTGCCCACCACGGGTATCAAAACCCAGTTCCTAGCGTTGCAAGTCTGCAGACATACTGCTGTACCACTGGGGGGCTACTTAATAGTATAAATCTATCTGTAAGATAATTGAATATGTTCTTTACCAGTATTTTTAAAGAATTATTTGTGCAAAATTTGTAATATGCTATATTGGGTTATTTATTTTGAAGTTGATTTGAATAAAAATTAATAGTCTACACACTTTTTCTGGTTTCTGTAAAGAGTGGTTATTTAAAAACTTGTTAAATAATTATAAATAATGTTTTGACTGTAATAATATCATTGAGGAAACACCAGTTAGTGTTAGATTAGCCATTAATATCTTTTTAATCTATTTTAATATTTTACTGGCTGCCTGTTTCCAGGTAGCGTTTAGCAGTTGTTAAAGTACATTCATAACTTATCATCACTTCTAATTATTTTACAAATTGATCCCCATGTTTACTAGTATTATTTGAACTTGAAGCAGGCCTAGTGGTATCAGATAACTGCATGTTAAAAAGTACTACTTAACAAAGTGCCTTATTAGCATTTGTTAGTGGAATAACCATTTAGGTCAGTTGGTGGACAGTTTACCTGATGTATCCTCAGTTTGGGTTTATGTCAAACCCGAGAAAACAATATTGAATTTAACAAAGTAGATGCTATTGAAACATAAACATTAGTGTTGTATTATTAACTAGCTGGAGTACCCGTCCCCTGGATGGAAGTTATGTAAATTCATAATTAATGAAAAGTTGCTTCCCTTATATGTACTTGTAAAAAAAGCCAATAAAAACTGCAAAACACAACATGTGAAATCACACGTTTGCAAGTATCTCCACAAGGACCCAACAAACCTTCATGCCAAATTTGAAGATCCATCAACAGGAGGCAAAGTAGTGGTAAAAAACACCCATAAAAACTGCAAAATGTAAAAACTGAAAATTTGTATGCACCCCTGCATGGACCTTATGAATCTCCATACCAATTTTTTGGTGAAGATCCATCCACACCCTGCAAAGTAGTTACATGGACATACAACAGACAGTACTATTATATTTATATATATAGATAGATAGATATCACTAGGTAACAATATTTGTATTTTACACATAACTGTACATTTAGTGTTATTAGTGTGACAACTTGACAGTAGTGTAAGTAGTATGACTTTACTCTTGATCATATGGCTGTAGGGTATTATTATTTATATTTTACAGATAACTATAGTATGATCTATAGATGACTGTGAATTAAATTGCATTTTTTATAGAATTTGAAAATAATTGCAAGTTCAAATGTATTACTTCTATCTGACAGATCGTAAATATCTGGTCATTCACTGTACGGGCTATCTAAAATCTTGGGCTCCAGCCAAGTTGAATCTTCAAGAGGAAACAGACAGTGACAGCGAGAGCTGTAACCTTAGTTGTTTGGTGGCGGTGGGTCGCGTTCACCCAGGAATTTTACATCCTGAAGCTTCTCAACCAGGACTTGAAGTTAAACCACTCGAGTTTGTCTCAAGGCATGCCATGGATGGAAAATTTCTTTATGTTGACCAAAGGTAATAAGCAATAAAGCATATATCTTTATTTGGGGTAAGGTATATACATAATTACATATAAAACCTTCATCCCAATTAGACATAATTTATTTAAACATCCAGCATTCTTTAATTTCATTATATGCACTTGTTTACTATTTCTAGCTGTCAACTATTCTTCAATTTTCTAATTATTGTCTGAGAAGTAGATTCAGTCCTCATTAAGAACTTTTAATCTAAAGTAAGATTAGATGAGCTAGAATAATTTAAAAAGTAATTATAACTTAATGAAGACACAGCTCCTCCTGGCATTCTGAATTATACCCCTTAGTGCTGTGGCATACTTCAACATCATTACTGACCAGGAGTACTTATCTCACAATCAGTCTATATGGTGATGGCTTATTCTACATGGACAATGCCACTGAACTAGAAATGGGAAGGAGTGGTTCTCTGAATATAATGTCAGCCACCTACCGTGGCTGCCAAAACCCAGAATCTCAACCACATTGAATACGTGAGATGTTCTAGAATGTCTCATCAGATGTAACTCGTATCTAATTAATTACATCTAATGCAGAGCTGCATCAACTCGTGTTGGATGAGTGGTCCCATATGTCCACTGTCAGCTGTGAGCATCTAGTGGAGTCAGTGCTGTGTTGCAAATGTAATTGTCATTGGTGGTGGACTAACCTGCTACTAGAAGTATTCTCTAAATTTTGGATAGGGCAGTGTAGTTTGTAATACAAAAGTATCTGATACTATCATTACCTTGTGAAATTTGCTGTCTGTCTTGTTTTATATGTAAAATAGAATTATATAGTGCTGGTAGCCTTCAGTCTTCTAATAGTCTAGATGTAATTTATTTTGTATAGGCATACAATAGAAAATAACCATATAAATCAGTTTAAATTTTTGCGGTTGTATAGGTGAACTGTTTATCTTTAAACATATGCATTTTGTTGTTAAATAAAACTATGAATTTGTAAAATCTGCATATTTGCTAATAACTTTATATGTTGTTGAACAGGAAAGATTAAGTGATTAGTTAGTTCTGCAGTATAAGTAGTGCCACTTTTATTATGCAAAGACTGATTTGGAAATCTTTGGACAGGTGATTTAAGGTTGTTTTTTCATGATGAGAGAAGGTTGATTATGAATTTAATAGCCTTGTAAACACTTAAATCTTCTGGAAGAGAAATTTGGTACATCTTGAGTAACTTTCAACATTAAGTTACCCAAAATGTTGTCGTCTGCTGACTCTCTTGTCCAGAAGATTCAAAGCTGTTGAAGTTCGTAATAAACTATTTCTCATAAAGACTTATTTAGTTGAAAACTGTTGATTTCTATGATGCATAAATGTAAAGACTTTTTTCTTTTAGATATATTTTTAGGAAATTAATTTGTTTCATTGTTGTTGTATACTTATGCTTTAAATATTACATTTTTTCGTGTTGAGAAGTTTGATTTTCAGGTAATGGGAAGATATCAATTAAAATATTTCTGTGCTTTTTAGCCACAGCATAGTGGCTCATAGAATGGCTTTGAGTTTGTTTTTTTCAAATATAAACTTTTAGCTCATTGCTCCGTCATCTCCTGACTGATTTAAGATCTAATTGCAGTTTTGGACTCAGGAGGTCAAACCCTTTTGACTGATATATATATTCACCACGTACAAGGTCTTATACATTAATTTACTCTAATCCTGCCTAAAAGAATTTCAATTTGAGGATAAGCAGGTAAGAGATCCTGATGAGTAATAAAATGGAACTGGGTATACGCATGCCGCATACCTGGTATTGCTTGCACTCAGAATTATAGCTAATAAAAAGGAAAAACAATGTCTCATATGTTAATTTACTTTAATCCTGCCTAAAAGAATTTCAATTTGAGGATAAGCAGGTAAGAGATCCTGATGAGTAATAAAATGGAACTGGGTATACGCATGCCGCATACCTGGTATTGCTTGCACTCAGAATTATAGCTAATAAAAAGGAAAAACAATGTCTCATGTATTAATTTACTTTAATCCTGCCTAAAAGAATTTCAAGTGCTGTGGCTGTTGAGGACTGCCTCTTGTTTTTTCCAGAACCTTAGAGAAAAGAAATCTTATACTTGTTCTTTTTTTCAGGGCTACTTTAATGTTAGGGTACCTTCCTCAAGAGCTTCTAGGAACTTCTTTTTATGAATATTGTCATCAAGAGGATGTAGCACATTTAGCAGATAGTCATAAGCAAGGTAAGGAAGGCTTATTTCTTCTAGAAGCTAGATATATATATATATATTATTTCTTCCAAACCCACACTCAACTACAATGATGTTGTTTCTGCCAGCTCTTTTATTCAGTCATTTAACTTGAAACTACACATAAAGAAGGATACTACATAAAGCATGTATATCCAGTAAATATCTAGAAAGTAATTATTTTTTTGGTGCATTTTTAACACCACTTGCATATGGTTTAATTTTATGGAATTCATACAGTAATGTTTATGCTTACATTAGCAGATTGATACATCAAAATTCTGTCTGTTTTATCAGAAACTCTTTCAACCAGATGTATCAAAATAAGGTTATTTAAGAACATTCTTTTTGTCTGAATTTATCTTAACACTTGATGATTTGAAAGGTATAAGTAAAATCAAATTTCTAACAGTTTTTTTAATCGCACAGTATTTTAACAGCTGAAAGGTTTGAACTATATTGGTAAAATCTAATTTCCAACAAAAACTTTTAATCTGACAGTTCAGGGTTTGTACAATATTTTAATTCTCAACAACATATTTTTCAATCTGACAAAGAATTTGGTACAGGAAGGTTTGAACAATATTGATATGCTCTATTTTTAATAATGGACGAAGCATTTCGATTAAATATAGAATATTTTTTTATTATCACTAACTTTTCAACACTGTTTCAAGTTGTTTTTTTTATCATATAATATAGCATAAATCCTGTATGCTCTTTATACTATCAAAGACATTAATCTTTATTTGATACAGCTTGTATGTTTCCTCAGAGCTTATGATTCTATTAAAAACATTTCTGGTCAAAGAATTTTGAGTATTCTTTTTTAAACGTATTGTTATTTTAACTTCTTTATTAGGTATTATTTCCAATTTGTATCAAACAATGTTAGGTGCTTAAAAAGCAGTGTTATTTTGACACTTAATATTATTCTTTTAATTTAAGTTTTGTTTGTATCTTGTGTTCAACTTAGTTCTACAAGCAAATGAAAAAATTACAACTCAGAACTATAGATTTCGAACAAAAGATGGATCCTTTGTTTGTATGCAGAGCACATGGAAGAATTTTAAAAATCCATGGACCAAAGAATTTGAATATCTTGTAGCTGTCAATTCTTCAGTTCCGTAAGTGTAAAACTGTAGACATTCGGCTCGTTTGTGTACATATATTAAAAATTAAGAGAATAATGTAAAAATAGTTCTAAAACTTAAATTCCCTAGATGAAAAACTAAAACAATTAATAACACCTCTATAAATTTGTTTATTCTTTCTATATCATCTCTAGAAATCCATCAGCAAAGTTTTCACTTTTCATACAATTGGTTAGAAAGACTGTTTTTTTTTATTTAAATTTTTAGTCCAGTGTTTTGAAATATGAAATTGCTGTTATCCATCAGCAGGTAACTTAATTTGTAATTGCTAGTTTTCGTGCATTTTAATAAAATAAATCAGTTGCTATAACTTTTTATTTATGTATCATTAATATTTTACTGTTGTTTTCAAATACTAAAAGAAGTAAACCATTGAAAGCTTAAGGGCATGCAGACCACTGTCAGTATATCACAGAAACAAGAGGTGGAATATTTAACTTACTGCAGTTTTTATGGCCTTTGCTCTGCAACACAGTCTACATTTTCTTGTTCAACCACATGTACTGCTGGTGTGTGCTTATTAGACTCAGTTAGCCATAAGGTTTATGGACATAAAATGCATGATTGCAATAAGTATTTGGATATATATGAAATTATACTACTCTACTTTCCAATTCAAATTTACTTTTTTGGTGGTACATTCTTAGTTAAACAATAATTTATCTTTTTTTTTTCAAACAAATTAAAATTATTATTTCCAAGGCAGTGGATTAACTAAAGACAAGTACTGTGGTCCTGTATTCATAACTTAAAAACAACAGATATAATGCATATATTTTTACATAAAACTCTGTTACTGACTTTCATACTGTTGAACATATAAACTGACATTATAAATAACAATGAAACTAGGTCACGCAGGAACTTTACACTTTATTTTATTGAATATTGACTTATCAAGCATATTACATACGAGACAGAATATTGTAATGACTTGCATTATTTTTCTCGTAATTATGATAAATCATATTCTAGATAACATGTAAACTTTTAAAGTTTTTCTTCTGTAACATTTAGCGAGAATTTTTTTTTCTTTTCTGTTTTACCAATATCGTAATATTTAAGTGTAATTACATTGTATTCAACTTAGCATGAAGTTGTGATCTATTTAAATAAGCACTTGCTGTTAATACAAAGTTTCAACTTCTATGCCAAACAGAAACACATGTAACTCAGCATTTCATTTGAAGCCTTTATTGAATTATTAACTTATGAAGAATTTAATGAAAATTCTGTTTGGTGCTGAAGGCTTTCCAAATGCTTTATTGTATTTTTTGGTTTTACAAATGTTTTTAAGTTATGTTTCGATGAATCAAACTTGCATTAATTAGTTGGTCAAATATATCTTACAATTAAAAACATTTTTTATCCTATAATGATTATAATTTGTGTTGGATATTCATTAAAAACATATTTTGGCATTAAATGAACAGAGTGATACAGGTTTATAGCTCAAAAGGTGGATCAAAGTAACAGTGTAGTTTTAAGCTTCAATAATCTATGCTATGTATTTTAATCATACTCCTGGATTAATTATCATTAGCTTTACTGATGGGCCTTATATAGAAATTTTCTCACATTATATTCAAATTATCTTGAATATGCACATTAGCAAGCCACATGACAACTACAGCTGATATAAAGTTATGTTGGAATGGCATGTATCAGAACTATTTCTTTACATAGCTTGGCATTTTTTTTACGTAGTATGATGCCACTTAAGGGCCAGGCTTTCTTAAGTGTCCATTTTTTAACTGGAAAATATTGAAAAAAATTCTTCTTCTATAAGTTTGATTTATACAGTTCTTGAAAATATAACTACTGAAAAACTTTGTTCCAACAATCTAGCACTTAGGCTACATTCTGTCATATTTTTACACCTTGATGAAGATGACTACTGTTTTCCACACGTGTTCTCCTTTACCAGATTATATTGTACCTAAAATAAAAAGGCAAAAAGCAAATAAACTGTAAGTAGGTTTTCCCTTCTGCT